CGCTGAGTACATCGAACACCCACTTGCGAAGCCTGTCCCTCTCCACTGCGACAACAAATCTGTCGTTGATGCTGCCCAGTCACCCAACGTCAAGCATTGCACAAAACACACCCGCGTCAAAGCTCACGCTGTTCACGAGCAATTCGAAGCAGGTCTGATCGAACTCGTTAGGATTCCCGGTGTCGACAATCCGGCTGATATTCTCACAAAGCCTTTACCGGCTGAGGTACACAACCGTCACACCCAGTCTCTTGGCCTCGTTCCGTATCGCCTCGCCAAGGGGGAGTGTTGAAGCGCCTAGTGGCTCTGGCCCGGCGTTCCGCCCGGCATGGACTTAAGGTGGACATCTTAGATTAGGCGCTGCTAATACGTAGATAGTGATTGGACAATCATATGTAGTGCTCCCACGCACAGACCTCTTTATGGCAGGCTTCCCCATTCTAGCGGACTTTCAATTTTGCTTCCTTTCAGTATATAAGGACTTCTCTCGCATCCCCACTCTGCGTGCTCTTTCCCTTCGCACTCAGAGTAAGTCTCCTTCGTCGCCCTTGCGCATTATGTAGTATGCTCACCGGACCCCTGTCTAGCTAACACCGTGTGTATTAGGTACATAGCTATACAGCGTGCTCTTTCCCTTCGCACTCAGACTAACACCGTGTGTATTAGATGATTTAGATCGTGCCCGCGTGCCACTCGCCAGTTCGCGCTCGCGCAGCCCAGTAGTCGTATCACGACAATAAATCATCTTTAGATGGAAGCAGCATCTATCAATGCATTCAAATTGCCTGTATTCGGACGTCTACATATCGGCAATGTGGCGCACCTGTGTTGCACGGCCATCGCTCCGCGTGTGAAGGTTGGCCCGGGCTTACACTCTATTGACGATGGCCGCGTAGTGTTGAAATAGCTCGAAGCCTCATGAAGTGAGGTCATGGTGCGACGCCACATCCCATCCTCCGATGTACCATGATGACCCCTGCATATGTTTATCCAGATCCTGCAGACATCGGTCGCAACGTTACAGTGTCGACGTTGGCTCTGGACGATTATATCACGGCCGTGTCTCTCCTTTTTGACGACAGCCATGCAATCAGCGGATGGACCACGAATCTGACACTGGAAATCGTGTTGCTCGGTACGTTGTTTCGCCTTCATCGAGTTACATATATGAACCCTGACACCGATTCCCTAGGCGTGTTTACCCCGCTTGCGATGCTGGCAGCCTATCTTCTCGCGCGAAAGGGCTTAAAGTCGATCGCAGTCGTATACCAAATGCTCGCATGCATTATCATGTACGCTGCGACCCTTAGCCACTGGATACTCACGGTAAGAAGGGTTACAAGCCAAAACGCCCTGCTACAAGCGGCCGTGCAAGTAGTATACGACACGTGTATCAGCACAAATGACACACTTGCGGTGGTCGCGGGCTGTACCCAGGTGCTTGTACTAGCGTCGAATGCGCGTGTAGACAAGTGCCCACTTACGTCAAGTTTCCTCCTAGTCAATGTATGCTCGGATTTCCCCAGTGGGGGTGTCAGTATCTAACCAGCCTTTTTTAGATAGTTCTCAGCGACGCGATTGTGTTATGGCGGGCCTGGGTTGTCTGGGCTCGCTCGCGAATTGTCCAGAGTGTGTCTCTAATATTGTTGGTTGCAACTATCGGTGGGTGTCTTAAAAACATAACGTTGGACCAATTTGAGATGACGCCGTGCCTTAGTTACCTCTTCCCTGAGTGCATCCAGCAGCTGTCATCCCAAGTTAATTTCAGGATCAGGTGGTATCGACTTCCAAGATAAGTCTGGTGCAATAGTCTTCATTCTGTCGTGGATTACCAATATCTGGGCAACTGCGTTAATAACATACAAAGCCTGGTGAGACACACTGGTCTGGGGCTCATCTCGCTTGATTAATCGCGCACCCCATTGACAGGCGCCAGAGACGAGTAATCAGACGTGACCTGTAAGTGGAAAACATACACACCCAAGTAGGAAGGCTATTGACGCTACTTGTTGATAACGGAATCTTGTACTGTGCGCTATGGGTGAGGATACTGGCTGGATTTATCATTCATAATCTCACTCCCTGAGCTACTACGATGGTCACGGTCAAAGAGTTCGAGGATTCTAATAGGGAAGTCTGGGAAGAGCTTGCATCCATTATTATTGACATAAATGTCTTCAGAACGTCCGGGCTCATAGAGATTATCGTGAGTGTAACGGATACGATCACGGGAGAACTATTGCTAACCAGCATTCAGGGCATTTATAGAGTCTCACTAGAGTGATTACCCTTGCCGCCTTAACCAAGTCGTACTGCGAGCGCATGCTGCAGTACGAGAACACCCCGATGCCTCGACCAATGCTCCAACCACCCGCCAACCCCACAATGGGGAGCTTGATAGCCGCGCTGATACCGTCGAATCACCGAGACCTCTGTCGAGTAGTAGTGTCATCGCCATAGACCTAGTCCAGAGCGGTACCTCCCGGTCGTCATGTAACAGCGCCGGCGACCAGAAGGGAATGGAAGGCGGTGAAGGTGGTCAACACGAGTGGGGTGAATCAGCGATCACACTGGACATGTCGTAGAGAGGGCCCACCATTTCTACAACAAGTGCACTTGTACATGATGTTGACTTGTATTGAATGTCTGTCATACAGATCGAGCCCCTCAGAAGCTACGAATAATCTGCAAGACCCTGGCTTGAAACCACGAATATATCACACTGCGATGCTCTCTCGCATATACCGATGAAACACGAGGCCGAGAGTACAGCCCCGGGCCGGTGCGTATTCTGTTCACGCTCTCCTTCCATCTTCCCTAGCAACGCCGTCTTGATCTCCCGTGGCGCTGAACATCTCTTCTACATGTGGCGCAACTGATTCCATCAGCTTTTCCACTAGTCGAACCTAACGCTTGTCCCGCCACCTTCCGCAACTGCGCCACACGCGCCACTGATCGCTTTAGATCCTTCTTCGAACGAGACAAAGCGTAGCTTCGCCTTCCGTTCGCTTGCTCTCAAAGCAAAATGCTTGCCCCAGATGAGAGTTCATTTGGAAAGCTTTTCATGTACCTCGCCGTTCCAGAGGTGCTTGCTATAAGACAGGCAAGCGACCTTAATATGTATAGTCACAATACTGCGAATTATTCCGAAGCGACCATGTCACTGCGCTCAGCCTAGCAGCAGCTTCGGCCTACAACGCAACCAAGCCGGCAACGTATCGACGGGTCCAAGGAGTGGGTTGCACGTCAAGTGACCAGTGCATGCTCTTTATTCCCAAGCGTAGCAGATTCATCGTCCGCAGAACTCTTGCTGCCGAGGATGGCGATGACACTCTGGGTGTATCGATCGCCATTCTCGGTCATTACCGTTGCTGTTGGGTTGAAGGCGTCACTGGATCGTATGACGATACGCGCTTTATTCAGTGCCGGCGGTTGGACGGGCGAATCAGGTGTGCTCTCGACTTTTGTCGCGCTCTCCATGGTGAAATCTGTCAGGAAGACGAGAAGAACGAGGGTTGTCGGATACATTCCCTGTGCAACCGCGAAGGTGTCAATTTGGCGAGGGGTAACCATCATGCAAGATTAGTCTCACGATGATATCAATAAGAACTGCGCGGATCGCATCTTCCATGTCGGCCACAAAGTGCCACTTGGTGGATCCAATGATGAGCCCCTCTTGGTTGTAGTATCGTAAAATGACAAGATATGCAACTAGAACTGCCTGGAAAATTTGTATGAAAGCTCTATCAGTACATTATTGTTGCAGATCCAAGAAAATACGCACCCACAGCCCGCAGTATAGCAGCCCAGAATCGACAAAGAGCATGAGAATCTTGGAGCTACGAGTGCCTACACTTCCGCTCCCGAATGCGCATCTCAATAAATGACGACGATGCCTGTATGCCGACATCCTCAGTTTAAATTGACAGCTATTCTGCCGACAACTGTGCTCACCATGCCTTGTATGCAATCAGAGATGTCGCCCAAATGTTCGTCAGCAGTGACAGAACAAAAGCAGCAAATCCGTAAACATCGTTGACAAATTCGTTTCCCGAGGTGTCTCCTAACTGACAGCTGTTGCGGACATTCAACGATGACATGACTGTGACGCAGAGGATTCCGTCAGCCTACATACTCCGAGTCTGGCGCGTGCAATTGGCAGCTTACTAAGGGTGGACAAGACCAAGAGGATCGATATGACAGTGAGAAGACGACGCCCAGACCACAAGACCCAAGCTCTCCACAGGACGATGCAATCGCTAAGTATAATCTAGGGAGCAAGAGGACTTAGCCATCAGAGTCAATAGATAGAGCTGGTTGCTGCAAGGTCCCACGTACATTAACGATCAAGAGAGAGGTCGTCGTGCAGGAAGGCGCTGGGAGTATGGCAACGAAGGTATCGTCCAGACTGCATTTTATCCCTTCCATCAGGTCCTCAACACACCGCGAGGTAGTTCCCTGTAACGACATCGAGGCGGCAGCGTAGTGAAAAGCGTATCGCACTGACAGCGTGAGGTGTGCGGCTGTCATTGCATACATGATCACACATATGGATGCTACGACTATGCGGGACGTTCGCTTAAAACCGCCGCGCCTAGTGAAAAGGTCGGTGGAAAACTTAGAATAAGTGGCTATCACTCACAGGAGGACGAATGTGGACAGAACGATTAAGAGCGAGAAAACACCTGCAAGGTAATGTTAGCTAACCAGGAGGATGAATACCAGATGCTGGCACTTGCTAAATAGCGCGACCTCGGGCAGAACGGTTTGTAGTATATTGGTGGTGTTTGTGCCGATGCTCGAGATTGCCCCCTCAAGTAAAGACAAACTTTGTTGCATTTCTTGACTGGGACAGGTCGAGGCATTCGTCGGCGCGGGCTGTGACATAAGAGGTCTAAAAAACAGTGATACAGCAGCACTCGAAGACTAGATAGCGTATGTATAGAGAGAGCGTGGCGGCGGACGGAAGTTGCAGGTTATTTGGCATGGGATGCTTATGCCAAGGTGCGAACGACAGGGTATATATGTAAGCCATCCATCAAAGCTACTGTTGAGGGCCAGGTCATTACCAAACGCGCCAAGGGCCGTGCCTTGCCTGACAGGGAGTCTCTCTCTACCTAATATATGATGGTGCTTACTTCTTGTGACCTCTTTTGACGCATCTGTCGTATGATGATCTAGCACAGGACTCGGAGATGAACAGACCGCAGGTTGGCATCTAGCACACGCGGAGTACGATGTAATTGGCGCGAGTGTGGGTTCGGGAGAGCCTACTCTGGAATAGATCACGCATGAATATATCCAATTGACAAAGCTGTGTCGTTGTTCAGAACAGTTCGGTCCTATTAGCGCCTCGAGTCACCTATCAGCCATGCCGCGCCAGTTGCCACCTTCCGTGGTGACGAGGTACAGCTGTTCGTGGTGCATAAGGCCGACCGGGATGGCGTATCAGGTGACCCGCACAGCGGAATACAGTATGGCGTAGTACTTATGTTTGAAGCTTGATCGATAGTCCCTAAACACCGGGGCTAGCGTGGTATTCACTACCATACTTTTGCGACCATACCGGATGAAAGTGTCGAAATTAGGTTTTACGACAACTCGCCAAAATCGTCATAAATCGAGAAAGAATTATTGGCGGTGTCAGCGGAAAACCGGCGTGACGTGTGACATCCGGTATGGTCGTAAAAGTACAGTAGATGCGCGAGCAAGACTGTCCAGCCCTACCTATTGTACGCCCTTTCTCACATCCTGGAAGCTCTTTGATGCCTCTATGACAGTGGCATAGCCATATTTATCGGTCTTTATCTCTTGGAAGCTCGGAGAGATAAAGACCGATGAACATCGGACTGCAGGCCAGTATCTGCGCCGTCTGATACGCATGAGGACCCAGAAGCTGTGACACCATGTTGATTGTTCGCTAGGAGAGGGCTGGAAGCTTGGATACTGATTTGAGGAGTGTTCGGCCCTATCATTGCATCATTACACACAGCTTTCCTACTGCGCCACACGCGGACATCGGTCAGGCTCGCGACGGGAGCACTGGCATGCGATGTGAACAATGTTTTGGTGGAGGAGTGGCCACGTCTTCCCTCGTGTGGATATAACCTTACTGCGTCTGCTGGGCTGCTAGACGTAATCCATGCTGCACGGGCATGTTTGACCTACCTTACTAAACCCTATATGAGTCATCGAGATTGTGACGTGATGCACGTGACTGTCCGGAGAACGGAGCCGACTATGCCAAGCACCCCAGATAAGACCAAATAAGGAAGCAAAAGGGAAAGAAAGTAGTAAAAAGACAAAAGGGGAGGAAACTAAAAGATGTGGCGAGATACAGTGTAGGACTCCTTGGGACCACTCCTTGGGACAGCACCACTCCTTGGGACAGCACCACTCCTTGGGACACCCCACTTTCTGCTCTCGCACAGCCTGTAGGGCCTATCACTGTCACTTTACTGTATATAATACATCTATATCCATATGTCATTAGAAACTCAGAGCCTTCCGGTGATTGTAGCGTAGGTGGGGGAGCAAAAAGCCTCGAAAATTGTCAAGCGCGCCGGTTTCAGTGATGCTGTGACCGTCACCAGAGTCGCATAGTGGGCCTAAAATTCGCGAAAATATTCGTTAATACTCGAATTTATGCTCCATTCATGTGAAAAATGCGCATAGTGCTCAGTTGTTAAGTGTCGAGCTAGAATACATCAGAGATGATTCTACTGAGCTTAGGCGTTACTGAGGCGTGACAAGTTTGACTGCCGCGTGACCGCTGCGTCCGCCGGGGCTGCTGGTACGGGTCGCTTTTGTCGCTTTTGTCACATCAGTCACGGTGTCCCAAGGAGTGGTAGCCGCTGTTCTGGACCACCTCTGTCTTGTGTCCTTTGTCTTGACTTCAGCTTTCGTCTTTTCGCCTTGCAGCTTTGCACTGAGGTATTTCATATGTTGTAGTAATATAATACGATTTATTTGGTATTTATATGCAAGAGACATACGAAGGGGAAGCGAATATTGATCAGGTGTCCCAAGGAGTGGTCCTATACTGTAATCAGGCAAAGACAAAGCTGCGCGCGAGCGCGCAATACGGAAGGAAGTACGCTGCTGGTACCAATGCGAGCAAGTAAATAGACGCCGTGATCGGAATGTTATCGAGGCCGCATGGTGCCAAGGAGTACCGCGAGAACAGCCGCTGTGGCCAAACCTCACTGTCGTCAGTGAAGAGCTTCCCGGCAGTGCGAAGGACAGCATCGGTGAGTAGAGAAGGGGGTTCAGTAGCGCGAAGCAGAGAAGCTACTAGGATGTGTTCGCGAGCACAGCCTGCAAGGCAGCAGGCGCAAACTGTGAACAGACGACGCAAGCGTGATAGGAGGTCTCAAGTGCATCACACCCAAAGCGGCGGCCCAGCACCTTGCTTGCAGTTTCACCCCCTGTCCACAGACTTGCAAGCGAATCAAGGCCCTTACTCACGAAAAGGAACTGTGAACGCACATATATCGCCGCGACGTCTTAGCAACGCAACTTGAAGTCTTTATACACCGACCGCCATCTATTATGCCTAACGCCGAGCTGGAATCACTCGCTTTGCACGCCCTCCGACTGGCCGATACTTTCTATCACCCCGACCCGTCTGGCATAAACGTGCCGAAAGGGTTATCTATTTCTTTCCACCAGAAACGCTCTGTGACCTGGGCGAAGCTTGTTCGAGGCCAGTTCCTTGTCATCGCTTAGTCGGACGCTCCTGTCAGCTCTCTTGCCTTGTGGTCTGTCCCGGATCTGTTGCACGGCGCGATGGACAAGGTGCCATTGACGGAGTGTTATCTGCCTGGGCCTGTATATCGCGGGGCGCTGGATTTGCAAGACGACAGCGCAGTGTTTGCGCTCGAGCTCTGCTGCAGGTAAGACGCCATTCAAGCTATCGTGAATCCCGGATTGGTTGAAATATTCTAGCGTGCCATCCATCTATGTAGTCTCTCTACGCTCTACAGGATCAGCCTCAACCTTCTGTTTCAAAGCCAGCCTGCAGGGCGCAGCTGTCCTTCGGAGCCTGCGCGGACACTCGCTGGGCTTTGCGTTGCATAACGAGCTCAGCGTACCGTGCGTCTGGAACTGGAGGCGAGGACATGTCACACAACTCTATCAAGAGCCCAACGTGGAGGTGTGTAGTTTCACTGTTTTTCTTGCATCTTCATTCATAGTCGTGAAGGGCGCTGCGTTGCAATGGCTTTCCACAAAAACCTGGTCGCTGTCGTCGAGCCTGGGCGGCTCCCGCTGTATGCGCTCGAACCAGACGGCTCTTTCACCTCGGATCTCGACCCCGACATCATGTACTTCGAGGACAGAGTCTCATCCGCAGCGCTTGAATATTCACGTGAATGTGCATCGCGTGCAAAATGCACCCATTCCGGGCGATGCCCTCCATCCGCCCTGCACGTTGCGCTGTGCGATAAAAACGGACTGCACGTGTACGTTATCGCCCTCCAAACAACGGGCGGCGAATACACCCCCGTGCATCGGTGGTCCTCACGGAATGTGTTAGAACGGAGACGCTACTGCAAGACGTTCACGCTCGCTCCGTCTTTTGGATCCGAGTGCCGCTCGGTGTCGTACATCGCAGAAAGCGGGTCGAACGAGGGTTACTTCACGCTCATGACTACTCTTCTTCCCGCCATTTGCGACACACGTACCTCGGATGAGGCTGTGGCGATGTCAGCCAAGCTGACGGGTGCCAACATGCCCGCGCTGTACTTCGCGCCCGTGCGCGACTTTGACGACGCGCTCGGGCTGCTTGTCGTCGGCAACGCGTTTGGCGAGCTCGTTCTGTTCAGTTTTGATAATGCCGCGCATTTGCAGAGGTTCGCAGGGTACCTGTGAATGAGCGAGTTCGTTTCCGAGGATAACGATATAGAGCTTCATAGGGTGCGCTCTTGGAAGCTATCCGTTCCACTTGTTCTGGTCAAGAGCTTTCGTGCTTCAAAAAGGTACCCATTCCCTGTAATTCGGCGCCGCCATTCCCGTACAGCGGTCCGCGCTACTTGTCCCTGGAAGAACTGAAGGCACGTTCCGAGTCCTGGCGCGCAGAGGGACCCCCGACGCCCCCGGGCTGGAGCTCTAACTTCGTTGCGCGCCCGAACGACCGTGACGACGCCTGCCTCCCCTTGCAGCATCCCCTCAATTTCATCCACACATCGGCCGCTTCTCACACGAGCTGGAACACACCTACAACTTCTTTGGCACGCTCATGCCGATTGTGTACCAGGACGCAGGGATTACCACGCGTGCTGTCTTCCGCGCGGGCGGGCTCCTTCTTGTGTTTGTCGAGGAGCCAGAGGAGGCGTGCATGGCCGTGCCGCCGGGGACGGCTCTCGAGGACGTCGTGGCGGCGCTCGAGGCCGACTGGTATGCTTTCCCAGAAATATGCGAGGACCTGCACAGGGAGTCCGTGCAGTTGCAGGCGTTCGCGAGGTGGGACGCTGAGCTTAAGTGCGGTAGGAACCGGTGGATCGAGTTGAAGGACAGGGGTGGAGACGTGCATCCGGACTGGCTGGTGACGACGTGCGAGTACCGGTTCAGGTGGCCAGGCTCTTGGAAGTGGGACGTACCTGGGGTTTAGTAGCGGGCTTAGTTGGTTGTACATTTTGTTAATATTGAACGACTTGGACTTTCCACATGTTTGGTGGCCTGTCAGGATCGGCATGCTCTGAACATTAAGCAGATACTTACGAGGAGCTGATGGGGCCTCACATGCCACTTATTGCATTCATCGTTGACGTGCAGCTGTCCTTGAGTTATCGGGATTTGTCGTGGATAGCATGAGCGCCGTTCTGAGACGCTTCCTAAACACTACACGCTCTGCTTATAGCTGAGTATAACTGTTCGCGACAGGCGCCACAGCATCTTGGCTTGAACCAGGTACAAGTAGAGATATATGCTCTCTTGCCAGACGGGAATAAGTGCAGCCACTACTACCCCTCCATCTTCACATCACCTTCCCCATCCTGCGATGCGACGGGCTTCTCGGGCTCTACCGCAGCGTCAACCACAGGCTCAGCCTCGGAGTCCGGGGGCGCCTCGATCTTCTCCGGCGATGCCGCCGCCATCACGGTCTCGGACGCAGCAAGCTCGCCCCTGCTGTCCGCCATGCTCACCGAGCTCTGCGACGACACTCCGACGGGCTCCTCCTTCTCGCCCTTGCCCGGGTTCGCGGCCTCCTCCGCGAGCTTCTTCCGCTCGTCCTCGATCGCCTGCGCAAGCATCAGGATGTCACCGGTGGCGATGTGACCGAAGAGCCGCAGGTACTTCTCGCGTGCGACGCGGAGCGCGAGCCAGGACCAGCGGTGCTTGTTCTGCGGACCGCTATCAGTGCCTGTGTTGAACATGGGCTGCGCGCAAGTGCTTACCTCTTCGTACTGATGAATCTGGGGGTCCGGAGGCAAAGCTGGCTCCGGTGGCACAACGACGGGCGGAGGCGCCGCGGGCGTGGGCTTAGGCGCGACAATCGGCGCTGGTGTGCTTTCTGGAGCTGGCGTTGTCGCCGGTTTTGGAGGTAGTGTGCCGGGTTTTGCAGGGAGAGAAGGATGTAATGGCGCTGGTGTGGGTGCTGGAGACGGCGCTGACACAGGTGTGGGTGCATGGATGGGCTCTTGTGATGATGTGGATGCTGGAGCAGGAGACGCAGCGGCCGATGCTGCAGCCGAGGCCGCAGCGGCCTTGGCACGGGCCTGAACGATTCGTTCCGAATTTCTTGCGAGTTGCTTTTTGCGCATCTCGATCCTGGCATCCTCCTGCTTGACTTTCTTGACGAAGTCTTGCACGTCCCCTGGCCTACGACATTGTTAATTCGTGCCGCCTGTATAATTCACGAGCTGAACTCACTGGAAAGGACGTTCCAAATCTGACAGGTCTCGGTAACCCATCTCCCAGATCTCAGTGAGCGCCGCTGTACCATGTGTATGAGGATAATCTTCAGGATCCTGCATCATCTTCCGTCGAACTTCCCTGGTTGCCTCCTCGAGTCCAATCCGCCTCTTCACAAGCTGACCATTCACCTCGACGTCGATGTCCTGCACCCAAGGAGCCTTGTCGAATGGCGTACATAATTCGTTTTTCCATCGTATCCAGTTCTTCTCCCGTTCGAGAATAACGGCCACGGTCTCCGCAAAAACGCGCCCGTTTGGAGTTGTCTGCCGAAGCTCCTCGTTCGTCTTCTGAATAGCCTCGTGCACCCACTTCTCGTCGTCCGGCCCAAGAGTGAAGTCCATCTGTAGAGAACGATTCCGAGGGGTCGACCATGTTATCTTTGTCGCTTTTGTGAAAGTGAGTAGATGGTTGAGCAAGATGAGTAGCTGGAAGAGGAACTGGCGGCGGAAGTGTGTGTCCGCGATCTAATCTCCTGTCAAAAACGTGCAGAGCTTCGAGTTGACGCTGGAGCGCACCTCAAGGTCCAACAATTCTAAACTTGTGAGGTATTTAGCAAATAAGTAGCCTTGGTTCGCGGTGTCGATGTTGACCTCGGGCTCGCGTCTTCGCTTCAGAGATGATCCGGAGTTTGCTTTGCTACCCATAAGTGCTCGCTCCTTCGCAGTCGCCTCTTTGATAACCGGCAGTATCTTGTTCATAGATGTCTTGAACTGGTCGAAAGTCTGCGGCTCTGTGAAGACAGATGGTCTCGAGAAGGGCAGCTGCAAAGACCAGAACGTCCTGTAGAACTCTGTGGCAGGTCAGGCTCTTTGCCCACAGCCCCTGAAATTACCCAACTTACCGTCTTTCTGTTGTTGTTTCTTCTCATCAGGGTTAGGAGACTCTTCATTTGCTTCTTCTTTCGCTCCATCCTTCGGTGCTTCCCCGTCGACCTGCATCTTGTCCTCCAATTGCTTAACCTCTTCCACGGTGTCCATCTTTACGTCCTCCGTCTCCTCCTTCACACCCGGCCCATCCCACGTAGGTCCGTACTCTCCCCTCAGGTTGACACCACTTCGCTCGCCAAGCGGGAAGACTTGGCTGAGGAAAGTCAAGATTCGACCGCAAAACAGAGTTGTCGAGCCTGTCTTCGAAAGTCGGCGAAGTAGGTCGTTCAGCGTGCGTAGAAGTACGAGAGCCTTGCCTTTCTGCGGAACCATGTTTTCCGTCAGCCTGTCTGCGCGACTCTCAATCCAGGAGAATATGTGCGAGCATGACGGGATGGTTTGAGTCTCGAGCAGCTCGTATAAGAGGTTGAATGGGAATATTTGGTCGCAGGCGTCCTTCTCAGTGAACGAAAGGACTAAGTCCAGCCTGAGCTTCAAGTTGTCGTAGTAGGCTGTCGATGGGTCCTTCAACGCAAGACCTTCCGTCGCCTACTGAGCACAATCCTGAGTTGACTGCGCATCATGCACAAACACGTATCACGTACAGCCAATGTGAACACTTCATGTCGAAGCGCGTACTCCCATTGCGTCCTCCTGTTGTCAGCCGAAGTCTTTGACTCGACTTCCGCGATTGCTGTTGAGACGAGCCGGTCGAGTGCATCTTTCTCGACAGCTGGAGTAGACAATGACTGCAACAGCCGCTTGAGTGACCCTTCGATAGCCTGCATAAGCCAAGGGACACAGTCACGACCGGCTGGATCACAAGGAGTAGAGGGGTAAAAGTTGGTGGACGTGGCTCAGGTGACAGAGAGGTTAGGGTTTCCTCTTTCGGTGCATGAAAAGTCGTCCAATTCGAATCCTGAGCTTGAAGCTTTGAAGCTCGACTCATCCAGGGACCAGCATATGGTGAGCTTTCAGATGCAGGCGCATTTTCTGGCTCACCAATCACGGCACACCAGCCGGTGGTTTGCTCGGGAATGGATTTCGTCGGTTTCAGCTGGCGATATGCGGCTTTGAGCTCGCGCAAGGCTACCCTTGACGAGCGTCAGCCAAGTTTGAGTGGGCGCTCAGGGCTCATCCATTTTCGCTGCCGTACTTGACAGGTCGCAATGTCTCAACTTCAGCTTCAGGGTCGATACGTTGATTTTCTGCTCTTGCACGACGACGACGAGCCTTGTGGGGAACTCCCAGCTGCAAAATGTCGCGGGGCAAAACTGGTTTCTTCGCTGGACTGAGTTTTATGCCAGACCCGGCGGAAAGACTACCCATGACGCCCGTGCGTGCTGCTAAAAGCTTTGGGCCAGCATATCTATGCTGTTATCTCATGGGAATATTGGTCCTCAAACCCGGAACGCGCATAGCTAGGCTGGCGATTTTACCAGTCGCTTTGTATACTGCTTCTAAAGCGGCTACTACCTATGACCACTCCGGCGGGGACCCGACTCAAACCTTTCAAAATTTTGGGCAATGTGTGAGTACTTAGAGATCACCCTGGGGACCCTGCTGCTCATAATGCGTGCACGTTAGCTAGGAATGCTCATGGTTTCAATGCGTGTGGTCGAGTGGGCCGTCCTTGCCCATCCCCTCGAGTGCACGCGGAAAAGCGGAAGCACGCTTTTGGACGCTGCAGATCTGCTCACAAACTACCGCGGCATTGGTTGGACATGGTCCAAACATGTTCCTTTCCCACCAGAGACTCGACCGACGCACTCCAGGGCTGCCTTTGTTGTCGCAACGTCCTTGCGGTTGATCAAAGATGTTTTCATTTACGACGCCCTCAGCAGCGCCATTCGTCGACTGGCACCCCCGTCAGTCGGTACTCCCGCCGGCGGCTCCATCTTCGACGAGTCCCTCCCACCGCTACAGCGTTATGTCTACTCATCCCTGATCACCTTCATTTACGGCGGCGTCTTCTGGCTCTCGATGGACATCGCCTACTACACCGCCACCGTTTTCGCCATATGCATCCCCGGGCTCTATCAACCCTCAGACTGGCCGCCTTACTCGCAACTGCCCCTGCGCGCGACCTCGATCGCGCGCTTCTGGGGAACGCACTGGCACCAGACCCTGCGTCGTACGCTCTCCGTGCTCTCAACGCCTCTGCGGAAGGTGTTCGGCCGCCCGGGAACGGTGCTCGGCGCGTTCCTTCTTAGCGGCGTTCTGCACGACTGGTGCATGTGGGGTATGGGCAAGGGTACGAATTTCGCCCAGACGGGCGGATTCTTCATGGCGATGGCGCTTGGCGTGCTGCTCGAGGATGCGTGGACGAAAATGACAGGACGGAGGGTTGATGGATGGTCGGGATGGTTGTGGACGATGGCTTGGACAACGGCATGGGGGAATCTGTTGGTGGACGCCTGGATGAGGAACGGCTTAGGTGGTGGCGAGATTCTTCCCCCTCAGGTTCGACCCGCGCGAGCATTATTAGCATGGGTCTCGAAGTCAGCGAATAGCACGACGATCCAGTATTCTCATCGCTAACAGCCTTCCTGGGCACCGGATTACAAGTTTAGACTGTGGTGAAGTATATCGATACATTGAAACTAGACACATCAATAAAGTAATAATATAAAACTGCTTGGGCCTGCCTAAGCTACGCTTGATTTAAGCTTTCAATCCAGATTCCTGCCTCGCATGTTCGCCTTCTCGACCAACACGGGGGTTGCCCTTCTTATTCTTCCTCATCCAGAGCACGGTGTTTCCAATATTCTTGTCTTGAGATTCGGATGCGAGTGGCAAGGGCGCCACACGGCCTCGACGACTGGACTGGCGAGTAGACTGCTTTTGCTTGCCCTTACCTCTCGGGGTCTTCTCCTCGACAGGAAGTCCAGAAGACGACGCGACTCTGCCAGAGTCGCTAGCAGGCGCAGTCTTAACCTTGCCATTTCCTTTGTCTACGGGTTTCAAAGGTGCGGGTGCGTCTGCGATTTGAAGGAAGGTTGGGACTCGGCCGCGACCAGGGGTAAGATCGTCCAAAGGTAAAGGCTTTACCGCAGGTAACTGATCCGAAGGAGGGTCCAAATGATCGACATCCTGAGCAGTTTCGTCGGTGGGACAATGAGGCTTAACGAACGGGTGTTCAGCAAGAACTATTCTACAGAGCAATGAGGTGACTTACTGGTATACTGGTAGGCCGGGACCGATCGCGTCCACTTGGCGAGATGTCGATCGATGGTGGGATTATTGCCTGACTCTGGAGGCAGTCATCTGTCAGGGCCTGTGAGGGTAGTCTAGCCGTGGGAATTAACGTGGAAGATGGGGGCTGAACAACCCTTGCCCGCGTGACAGACAGTGAAGGATCTAGCTCCGCCGGGCTATCAGCAGATGGTGGGGTACAGGGCACGACAGCAAGACAAGGTTCGCCCGATACAGAAGCCGTCTCTGAAAGAGTTACGTTCGTCGCCAGATCGTCGCCAGAGCTCAGAGTAGTCGCCGGGGAAACTCGAGGAGGGGGCGATGGGGTAGACAGGCCTAGGGGACTTAGGAGTCTAAGACAGAAATCCACTATTCGAGGGGTACCAGCTTGAACAGAGCGACTGAGATCGGCGGGCTCCGGAGAGGCACAAAATCTTCGCATGGTTCGTGGTGCTGTCTAACCAAGGATCGAGAGTAGCCCATCAATGACGATGACTTCAGAGACCTACCAGGGGTGTAAAGCTATGACTGCGAATGCCAGCGTGAGCTTTTGAAACAAAGCCCCTGCAGCTGCCCACAGGATGCGATCGGCAGTGGGTCAGTAGTAGGAGACACAAGATCTGAACGTGGTCAGCGTGAGATAGGCCTCTCTTTAATGGTGAGCTCCAACTTACCGAGATACCGAACCAAGTAGCAAGCACAGCCAATGCTTGCATCAGAAAAAGAGCGTCGATAATGAACAGATCTGTGACAAGCCGGGGAACTCTGGGCGTCGCGTACACGGCCTCATACTGGAACTTGACAAAAAAACCAAGCGGGGGATGTCTTACGGGCATCATCTCCAGAGAAGCAGATTGGGACGGCTATTGTAGCGACCCTCGTAATTCGGCTGAGAAGGGAGAGGGATAGGAGTGGAAGGGTGCGAGGGGAGTGGATTGAACATGTCGCGCACTACCACGCTGCGCGCTTTGGCTGATGTTCAGGTCACGTGGATTATTTTTGTTCATCTTTTGTTTTGTTTTTGCAGATGTAGTTTGACTGCTAGAACTAAGTAGCTACGTCTAAGAGCAGACACGAGTACTGTACTAGAATGTTTGGGACTGGTTCGCCGCGAACCGTCAGTAATAATACTGGAGGCTGGCGGAGTAAAGAACTCGACACCGCCCATTGTGTATGACGCTGGGATCACGCCCGCTCGGTAGACCTTTTAATTACGATGTACTCAATGCACGAGAGTCCAGATATGTGTACCAGCCACGATTGTAAAATTTGTAAAACTCATGTAGGACCCGAAACTGAAGCTGAAGCTTGAACCTTGCATCTCGGCCTGGACTATGGTGAGAGAGGCAAGGAAATCCTGAAGCCAATGCCCTGGCAATACCTACATAAATAAACATAAACAGTCCCTCACCTGAGAGTGACGCTAGTATTATAGTTCAATAGCAGACCAGTTGGCTTGACACAAAGACGGAGGCGCGCCATTGTCCTGAGTGTTCTCAGGGCGCCTGAGGAAACACCAACAAGCGTAAATATGCGACTCGACGGTATTGTCTACCACCAGCTACGGCTCTCATGAAAAACTGTGACACCCAGAGCAATGGAGCTCATGTTGACAGAGAGTGATGTAGGTATGCCGATAACAGTTGAAACGCGATGCCGCAGATATATCACCTAGTCCTCGCAACTCCCATCATCTCCCGTTCCTGACGTCGGGGCTGTGATATCCTCATCTCAAGCTCGAGTTCTGCTTCCTCTCCACCTCCCCCACCAAGCCTTTAACTCTACTTTTAATCATTTAATGCCTCTTTGTAGTTCTGCGTGGGCTCGCGCAGAGTCTGCAGCCTCAGGAAAAGATGGTGATGCCGTCGGTGAGTTTTCATGCCACTACTGTAACCCAATTAGGGCTACAATGCGAACGGTAGCTGCTGCCACCAGTCTATTACCCAGTTCTACGTCGAAATTTCTAGCTTGATTCCCCTACTCATGGTCTTCATTGGAGGCTTATTCTGCGAGCAGGTCATTCGGGCTCCGATGTCGTGGTCACATCGGTCTCTTTTGTCTCGTCTACATTGCCAAGTGTCGTCTCGAGCTTCACGGACTCTTTTTGGACCATTGCTGCTCCTCCTGCCACTTTCCTCGCTACCTCCACTCCTTGTATGCAATCCGCTCTTTTAGTACCCTCGGGTCTCGCGCCACTACCAAGGTGTAGCCTCTACTCAACCATTCCTTGCAGTCTGCATGACAAGATCGTGCGGGATACAGCCGGTAACTTGTCTATTCCAACGGAGGGGAATCCCGCTAGTGCCCCCGCAGCAAGTACAAGCTCTCCGAACGGTGCTGCTCCCTCGTCTTCATCTATGGCGAGTGGCGCAGGCTCAGCGTCGGTCCCGGGCTCTACGTCTGCAACGGACACATCATCAACGCCATATTCCAGCAATCCCGGTTCAACCCAACCCCTGAGCCCCAATCCTAGCCTGAGTCGAAGGCCAGTAACTCCGGGGTCGCCAAGTTCCGGCAGCAGTACGACACCTCTATCGTTACCTTCTCCTATGCCAAGCAGCACGCACAAGTGAGCTTTCCAATGCACGTGGCTCTGCCCCCTGATAAATTTGTAACACGTCCAAATTAGCCCTGCGGGTGTGTTATCTGGGGATAGCCCAGTAAACCCTACCTCCACGCCAGCTACTACCTTTGCAGACACGGGTGTTGCGGCAGCATCAGCCAGTACTACCTCCACGCCAGCTGTTGCCTTTGCAAACACGGGTGTTGCGGCAGCATCTGCTGGTACTACGGCCTCGTTCCCTTCTTCTTCCACTGCTGGCATAGTGGCGGCATCACACACGTGCGTCCGATAAATCGTAGCGAGTTTTCTGCTCAGATACTGAATATTAATGTCTCTCTAGCACTAATAGAACGAAAACAGCTATTATTGCAGGTGTTGTGGGTGGCCTGGGCGGTTTGATGCTCTTCATCACGCTCGGACTCTTCCTCTATGTCCGAAAGCGTCGTCGCCAGCACGCCAAACCGTTCTACTTCGAGAGCGTACCCGCTGCCGGCTTCTACTACTCTGCAACGCCCACTCCTCGCACGCCCAACGGCCCGCACACGCCCTCCAGCGCCTACTTCATGACCGCGCGCTCTCCGTCGCCGCCGGCGTCCCAGACATCGCACACTTCGCAGTACGCCACTGTCGCGCGCGCCAACACGATGAGCACCATGCGCAGCCCCTCCATGCGCGCGAATATCAGCCCGTTGCTGATTGTGCAAACTTCGCCGCGCTCGGAGGAGAGCTACCACACCGCCGAGGAACCCGATCCGTTCGCGGGCCCCCATGCGATGGCGCAGATGCGTCCGCGGATACCCGCTGTGAGCCCGACGATTCGAGTGTCGGACACGACTCTTGTGGATCCCAACAGTCGGCTGAGCGTGATTAAGAACCTCGATGGTCCTGGCTCAACCGCGGAGACAAAGCTGCCTCAAGACCCGCTGTTGATGCCGCCGCCCGCTTTGGCCCCAGCGGAAAGTAGGATGAACAGACTATCGCACGGCTCATTTGAAGGCGACCTGCCGTCTCCGGCGAGCTCGGTGGATGTGCGTGACTTCTTGTTGATTGTATGATGGGAACTTACGATGGTTGCCTTGCAGGCGGGATGCGCTATATAACGCTGCGATGACAGGAACGGCCAGATGCTGTCTCCACTTCGAAGTATTTTGCTCTGATTTTTTTGTTCTACTTCTTGTGGGGCGGCATGCTTTCGCTTTCGCTTTATTTATTCCGTTTGGCTCAGGCGACACATAGGTCTTATGTGCCTATGAGGGGCGCAGTACTATTAGTGTAACCTACGTGTATTCCTGTGTAAACCGATACCCGACAGTTCTGTGGAGAGGTGCAGTGCAGATGTAGTCCGTGTATATGACAAGATGCATGTAGCTGGGTAGCGTGACGTGGGAAGAAGACGAAAGGAATTTAGGCCCGAAGATACCCAATCGTGATGTTTGCGATGATATCTATGAAGAGATTCTGCCACTCGATGTTCGACTTTGCCAACTTCTCTTCGACGACAGAGATGGATTGGGGGATCAATTCTGCGTCGCGCAGCTAAATTCATGTTAGTTAAACCATAATTGCGGCCATCCAAGGACTTTCACTCACTCTGAAATTGTCGAACGTAATGTCTGCCCTCGGGATATACAAGTTAATTGTGGTCATGGGGTAGTTGATTGCGTGCGTGATGTCATAAGGAAAATGCAAGATGGAGAGTACGAGCTGCCTGCGTGTACCCGTTTAAGCTGTTATGCACAGAGTCTAGAAGT